GCTGTTTCCCCCCCCCCCCCAATTTTTGTAATAGTTGTAGTAGTAGACATTTTAAAGTTCCCAAATTTCCCAAGGTTCCTAAAGAAATATTTCAATATTATCATCAATTTTATCACTTGACCTCCAGAGAAGGTCAAAGTATGTCAGTTATTTCAATCAAAGTAACATAGACTAATTGCTACAATTCAGATATGTAGCAGCTATTAGATATCTATAGAAGACTTGGGTAGTATAAAAATATTATCCAAGTCAATATCACTAATATATTTTCCTGTATATCTCCTATATTATATCTCCTTTTATCTTTGTTTACTGTATATAGTTCTATTGTAAATTTAAGAAAGGTAAAAATCTAAGATACTTGATTATAACTATGCATATATATAAAGTTCATAAATATAAGTATAGATGTATTTAAATATAAGTATAACTATGTTCTATAACCAATTATCAAGGAAATATAACCAACATAATTCTACTAATTATCTTGTCTGAATATTAAAATTGTAATTAATAGTTCAACATATATAGTATGAATAGGATAGGTAGTGTAGTTATATAAATTTGTGTGTGTGGTGTGTGTGTGTTTATACACACACACACACACACACAGACCAAGACTCCCAACCAGTCAGGATAAAGAAAAGAAAACCATTCTAACACAGCAGGAAGCTAGCACCAAATTTAAAAAAGAAATGGCTGTGAAAGCCTGACACACAGACGAACCCAATACACAAGCCTGATGATGGCAGATGAGATTCTGCTGAAAGGTCACTACAACTTTAAAAGCACAACTATAATGACATGGGAAAATACCTGAACAAAGCTGAATACCATACATATATGTTTAAATATATGTAGTTATCCTATATATATATATGTATATGTGTATATATGTTTATATATATATATATATATATATATATATATATATATATATATATATGTGTGTGTGTGTGTGTGTGTGTGTGTGTGTGTGTGTGTGTGTGTGTATGTGTATGTGTATATGTGTGTGTGTGTGTATTGTATGTCTGATAGATAAGTCAATTCATCAAATATAAATATAGAATATAAAGTATATGTTATGAGTAAATAATATTACAGGTATTTATATATATTGTTTAAATATTTAGATGCTTAAATAATCTGTACTTATTAATCAATTCCCACTTCTTCTTTCCTACTCATTGTCAAGCTGTTCCCCATGTTTCTTCTATTTCATCTTTAACGGCTTAGTCTCTATCTCTCTCAATTTGCAGTCACTGCCCTCCTTCAAGATGGTTCCTCTTCTCTATTCTTCCTCTCCAAAGAACTCCCAACAACTGTCTCTAATGTCTCTTCACTTTTTACAATCAGTTCAATATTCAAACATTTTTTAAAGAGTTTAACATTATATAGTTATAAATTTTTATTCCTTTGGTTCTTCTGAGCTTCCCCTCTTTCCAACTGTCAAACTGCTCACCTTCTAATAATCTCCTCCACTCCACTCCGCAGTCACCACCAATTCGCTGCCACAGTCCATTTTCCCTGGAGGCTCCTTCTTCTAAACTCCCTTTTCAGGGCTCTCTTCTCTCACCTCATCAAACTGTCCAAATCTGCCATTTCTCCTCCAATGTCTCACATTGATTTCCATTCTCCTGCTTCCCAATCACAGCTGGCTATCATGGCTTCGGACCTGCCATAGATGCCAGGTTTCTTGCATGGTGGTTTTGTCATAGCCGAAGGCTGCCTTCCTCTTCACTACCCTTAAGGCTTATCCTCTAATTAATGCTTCTCTCCAGGATCTATGATGCCCCAAAGAGCTTCCAAGTGCAAAAAATCGGAAACAAGGGAGTGGAGATCGCTCTCCTTGCTCCGCAAGGCTGTGACATCATCACCAGAAGTCCTCCACTATCCTGACTAATCCTATCCTCTCTTTTCTAAAAGGAGTTTGTCCTCAGTAGATGCTGCCGCCTGATTACCATCCTCCATCTTTTGGAAGACTGTACACCTCAAATGACCTTGGTCACTGTTACAGGTGAGTTTGTCACTAAAGGAGCCTATGAAGGGGCAAGGCAAATGGGTGATGTGTGGCGATTCCTTTAAGGGGTATTGGTTGTGGCATTGCTGAAAGATAGGTGTCTATTCTCCCATGTGCTGTCAGCATGCTGCTAATGGAGGTTGGTTTATGCATGCTTCCTAAGCAGATATCTCCTATGACCCATCCTAGGTCTAATTTCTGAGCATAGAGGGCATAGTGGGGACCATTGATCTGAGCTCTCACTTTGTAGACTTTAAAATATCTCTCCCTAGGAGCAAGACTACCTGAGCCTGAGGATCAAGCTCTGGTATCAGATGCACTATGCGGTTCAAATGTGGGTGAATTGCTACATCTGGTGTAGGGATTTCAGATTTATGATCAGGGATCTGGTTGCATTTGATAAGAATTGGTAAATGTTTTCCCATCTACCAACTTAACTTGGTAGCCAGATGCTCCTTCCTGCCATCTCCACGATTCCTGCACAAGTTTTTAAAGAATATGGAGTGCTGGGACCTTTAATGCCAAAGGTATCAAAGATGGCTGAACTGGCTAAAAACCTGTTACTTTGGTCTAGTATGCCGTAAAGCTTAATGGCTTTCTCTTTGGCCTGCTGGGTAGACTCTGACTAAACAGACGTTGGAGCAGGACTTGTCATATGCAATCTCTTTGCAGACTTCTGTGCATTTTGTATTGATTTCTGCTATGGCTATAGCAGTGTGTTCTTCCTTCCTGCCATGCCACTGTAAGTGTGCTGTTAAGTCCATAGTGCTGGCCCTGGATGCAAAGCTGTGTTGTGGTCTGTGCTGCCATATTCCATGTACTTTACACTGACCTTGGAGTCGTTAGCAATGTGGGAGATTGATGAGCAGCACTTGTAGCAGATGTTGTTCGCTTTCAGGAAAGTATTTCTATGGATTTCTCGCTGAAGGCTCTGAATTTTAGGAGAGGATGTGGCTTCTGGTGTAGACGACACTGCTTACCACGATCTCCATTTCTATGTGAGAGGAGCTAGCAGATCTGTGAAGAGAATCTGGAGGAGTCACTTTAGTTTTGTGGACTGCTACTGCAGGATTGTGAGGATTATGTTCTAAAGGAGCAGCACATGACAATATGAAGTGAAAGCTAGGATCATTTCTTGTTTTAGCTTGTTGGCATACAAAGTCCACAAAAAAAAAAAAAAAAAAAGAGGGGAATGGAACATTGCACTCTCTTTTGTATTTGGAGCCATATCTGATCCACTGCTCTTGTAAATTATAAGGTAATTTTTGTACAATGGGGTTGATACCTCTGGCTGTCAAGGAATTCAAATCCTTGCAAGTCCCCTTCCAACTTAGCTACTTGAAATTCCATTAGTAAGTTGCTAAGTTCCCTAAGTTTCTGATAGGCTCTGCTAGGTATTTTGGGGAACCTACTGAGTCTTTTTAACTGTACATTCTCCACTGCTTCTGCTGAGCCATAGGACTCATCAGGTCTGTCCCAGAATGTTTTAAGGCCTGTTTAAGGGTAGTTTATATTTATTGCCCTGATTCGCTTGGCATGCTCAGCAGATTCACTTTCAAGCCATTTAATTATTAGATTTATCTCCTTACTATACAACAGATCCAAGCCTCAGATGACATTTTGGAAGGACAATCACCAAGCTCTATATCTCTCCAGGATGATCATCAAACCTTTCAAATCCTTGTGTGAATAATTCACCTCATGGAAGGAACTTGGCAATGGTGTTTGATTAGCCAATTGTGCATTGCTGTGATAAAAAGATATTGAGTAGTCATAACTTTTGGGAATATTTGGTTTTAGCTGGTCCTTTCTATGTTGCTCTGGCATGAAGGCTAATACTGTGGGATAAATTGTAGGGTCAAGTAAATTGGGTGTGAGGGATCTGCTATCACAGGTGTAGCTTTGCTTGAAATGTTCTTGTTTGTAGGCTTGGGGCTTGTTAGCCTGTAGCGGTGCTGAGTAGCATCTTTGGCATGTCTCTTTAAAGTTGTCTTTATCGAGGGTATTGCTGCTTGGCCTGGAGTGTTGGTAGACGTACTCTTGAGGTACATTGTAGATTTTGGGTTTCAGTTTCTGACTCAAACACACTGTTGCGTTAATCGCATTCATCATCCGAATACACTGCTCTCTGTAAGGAGTTGACTTCTGCTGTTGCCTCTGTGACCTCCTTCTCTATGGTTAACTGCTCTAGCCTTGCTTCTAACAGGGCTTTCTCTCTTTTTATTTCAATTTCTTGCTCAGCGAAGGCTGCTCTTGCTTTTGCTGCTTCAGCCTTTGCGCTGGCAATGGCCAATGCGTCATGTGCTGATTACCACCTGGAAGAATTAGAGACTTGAAATCTGAGCTGAGAGGATATTTTAACACTTTACTCTGCCAGAATGCTCACTCAAAACTTGGTTGTTTCTTTTTGGATGCATTTCTTTTATTACTAAAGGCAATCACTTTGCCGATTATGCTGGTAAAGCTACTCAGTAACTTTGTATTGTTCAGTCTTTGTACCTGTGTTTCAGGTTTCCTCTGGTATTGCTTATGAAGTTTCTTTCAGTTGCTGGGACTGCTGCTTTCAATGTCTTATGATGCTTCTTGAAAGAGTTCATTCTGGATGGTTCATAATGCACAACCGATTGCTACACATGCTTTTCTTAGTCTTCTGGGCCAACACACTGTACATGTGAAAGGCCATTATGGTATAAGATTGGCTTGCTCCTGGAGCCCTTTGTGGAAACCTCCAAGGCCAAGGACTCCCAAAGGGATAGCAGTATCTCCGCCATCTCAATCCATGGACAGGGGCAATGAAATAACTACCAGTTTCTATCCTTACAGAAACAAACACAAGCGTTCTTGGAAGGCAGTGTGAGGTAGGATTCCTTTAAGTGACCAGAAACATCCATTCCAGATGGAAGAATTTATGCTGCTTATAAATTCCCCTGGAAGATGATTAAATCTGAGAGGGTTCATTCTAGGTTTTGATGATTCTGTGAAGCCACTGTCCTTGTCAAAGAGAACCAAATAGTCAAACTGTTACCTGGAATTGTAGGATTATTAGCTTTTTAATAAAGGTGATATTAGCATTTAGCATGGCATGAAGTTCAGGAAATCATCTTTTCATTTTAGCCAAAACAATTTATTTCTTTTATTTGCAAATATTAGCTTTTTCAGGGACTAAACAAACAAGGAGCATAATCTGAAGTCCTTATGTACTGCAAATATTAAAGAAACAAGCCCCGATGGGAAAGCGGAAGAGACAGCATATTTTAATAGTGTCTATCTTATGTTTACTTAATGTTTTATTTTATCAGTTGCTTTTTGCACATAGCATATACAGAATGTTATGGAGTATTTGTTTCTTTATTTCTGTACCTAAGTAAATGCTTTTTTCTTTGTCCAAATTACTTGATGATTTGCATTTTTGGGTGGACAATAAAGCTCCTTTGCAAAGTTAAAAGTGTTTCTCTCAGGGTACAAGTTCTTCAAGCCAAACTTTGGGGCTATGTTTCATGGCAACAGAATTAATTCGTTTCTAGCTAATATTCTGAAAAAGAAAAGCAATCTTTCAGAAAAATAAAAACTTTAGGGAAAACGTTTCATTACAACTGCATTTTAACAGTATGTAAAGAATTATAATTAACCATTTGAACTACTGTTCATAATAAACTTTTTTACTGAAAAAAGAAATTGGTAAATGTTTTGCATTTGTACTTGTTATGCAGTATACAATCTAAACATTCAAAATGGCCCTAAACCACAAATATGTATTTTTCTTTATTCAGCATTTTCACTTATGGCTTTCTAATAATAAAATGTTTAAAAAAGGAAGTAGACTGCTTGGAAAATATACTGAAACATATTGAATAACAAATCCTTTTTCCCAAATCTTCATTCCATTTCTTTTGTGGCTGTTTCTTGAAACAAAACAGCTTCTTCAAAACTAATCATCTGGCTCATATCTATGGAAGTAAAATAGAAAAATAGTTAGATGTAACTTTTCATGCTCCACATTTTGCATTTTACATTACAATAATTAATCCATTTTTTGAATAAATAATCAGTATTTGTTGGAAGAGTCACATTCTTCCTGAAAAAACAGACCACAGCCTGGGAGCATATTTATTTAATTTATCGACAGAATTTAGATGGCTTCCTATTTCATATACTTATTCTAGGTTGCTCACAATAATCCAGATAACAGATAATCAGAGTTGGAAGGGACTTTGTAGGTTATCTAGTCCAACCCCAGCCCAAGCAGGAGACCCTACACCATTTCTGACAGTTGGCAGTCCATAAAAACAAATTTGAATTTTAAAAAATTAATCATGATTCTGTAAAACCAAATATCATTAATAGAAAAAAACACAGAAAATATAAAAATACAAACGAAGGATAACCACTTACTTTGAAAGCTTCTTTCGTAGCTCTTTTATCTGATCATTCTTTTTTGAGAGAATCTCCTTCATATTGCGATAGGCAGCAGTTTGTTGGAACTTCTTTTCTAATTCCTATGCATTTTGAATCATTAAAATATTATTTTAATGATACTACATTTGTATTATACTAGCATTAAAACTTTCAAAATGGCATTATCTATAAATACATGAAAAATAAGTATGATAAAATATTTGTACAACAAAAGTTTAGTTTAGCAAATTACTTCATGTAAAAAGCCAAATCAAACCCAAAGTATTTCATTATTTATATTTATAATATGTTGAAGCTTATTTTTTATAATTAAAATCTTCATGGGATTAAAATAATTTCTTTCAAGAGCATGGTATTTAGCTACTGTTCCAGATAACAAGAATTAAAGTTGAAAAAAGGCAAAGATGGCCACAAATGTAGCTAGGGAAACAAACCTTTTCAGCCAGTGCTAACTGGTCTTGAACCTTAAGTAAGTCATGTTTTGTTGACACCAGATTCTCCTCCAAGGATTTTTGGCTTGCAGTACTGTCTTGCAGTGTTTTCTCAAACTGACACTTCAAATTAGCCATAGTATTTTCTAGTTCAGTAACATCCTGAGTAGTGTTACACTGAAAAAAGGATATATGATTATTGAGAAAATAAACGTCTAGCCAAATATTTATTTAACAATATTGTGTGTGGAAAGATAAAGGATACTCATGGTCTGTAAAACATTTACAGTCAAAGTTTGCACCAACTCGCCCACCTGTGTTATTTGACTGCCTTTTGGATGCTTGGCAAACTGCATTTATGATTAAGGCCTTTTCAGGTTGCCAAGTGCCCTGCAATCATATAATCATCATTTGCAATCTTCTCTGCCACCTTCCCTGGAAAGTCAATGGGAAAGCAGACAGAGAATATATTACATTTGAGGTTTGTTCTCCTGGCATGCCAAAGGATTTCCCATCTCCTCCATGCAGAAATTATCCCGCAAAGTGAAAAAGCAGACCTCAGATCTGGTGAAAATGCAACAAATGCCACCATTCTGAATCTTCCAGAATGGTGGTGTTCACTATCATTTTCCCCCTTCCCTTGAAAGGTTCTAGAAAGAAAAATGCCAACAAGTATTTCCAGAGGGGAAATCTCTTGGCATATTGGAGAAATGGGCCTAAAATCTGGCAAAAGTGTTAGTGAATGGCAGTGTTCACGCAACTGTTTTCCTTGGTAGGGTGGAGAAGGTTTAGGCTCAAGGCACTGTGATGGGAAGCCTGCCCATTCTGCCCACTCCTAGGAGTTTCAGGCTATCTCCCTGGCAGTTCACTTAACAATCCACAAAGCTGCTCAACAACCACAACTGAGGGAGCTGGGACTGATGTCTTTGAGTGAAGCAGTCAAGTGGCATCTTGCTTAATGATTGCTTCATTCAATAACTGAGATTTTAGCTAAATGTGGTCATAAGTAGAGGACTACTTATATTTTTACAGAGAATTTCATAAAAATAAACCCAATCGACAGATACTGTAGAAAACTTGAAGCCATAAAATTCAGTGGACTCAAATGCCTAGCATTTGTTAACATTTATAAAATAATATTAAATGAAAATTTTAAATTGATAGCATTAAGAGAAAGGGGAGAAACAAATGAAACAAATTCATAAACAATATTAGGCAAATTTGCTTTTTAAAATAAAAGTAACATGGCATTTATGGATGATTTACAAAATGAAAATGTATTTGATTAGTGTTATTAATATTTCTAAAATGAGACATATACTATATATATAGTTTTATTAGTTTCATTTGATTCTATTCATACACAAAACTTGCAGGTACGTCTTTAAGAATTACCCAACTAACAGGCTAGGTAACCAAATGGCAATAAATGAGGCCTACACAGAATTTAAAGGTTTTCCTAGGAAAAAGAAGCAAGATTATCATGACAGCCTTTAAATTATTCATAGTGAAAGCAATGACCCAATTTCTTAGGGTCCTCAGGTAGATATATAAAATTTGATGCTTTTGTTAGCATGAGTAAAATTCAAATTTCAGAGTTCTGCTTTAAGCACCAAGATATATATTTAATGCTAAAACTGGATAACCATTTGTTCAAGATTGTATGAAAATTCCTGCATTGGGCAGGGGAGTTGGAGTAGAAAACTTCCAAGTACTCCTCCAAGTTTATATTTAGTCTTATTTTGGAAATGGAGGAAAGTACATGGTTTTCCATTTTCAAGCAATGGCTGTCAGCCTGGAGCCATTTTCTTTGGCGTCTTCAGGGCTACCACAGCAGTGACCGGGCAAGCTGTGGGAATGGGAGGGGAGAGCAGAGGTAGAGAAAGCGAGGACTTTGTAACCAAAATAAAATTATTTCCTCTGAGAACCAGACATTCCCACCAGGTGTGAAGAGGCGGGATGTGAGTTCAGATGAACTTTGGACCGTGACCTGATTGGGCCATGTGATGGTCTAAAGGGGCAGAAGGGAGGAAATTGTATTTTTTATTAGGGGGAAACCCAGAGGATTTTAGATTCAGGTTTCCCTGCCTTGGAATTCTGATTCTGTTGCAGGTGGAACCTTGACAATGGCTTGAATTAAATTCTTTTTAAAGTGTTGCTGATATTTTCAAACAACTTAGAAAAATTCATATAAAAATACTGTTATGTGACACAAGTGGCAACTTCTTACATGAAATAACCATTAGTGTTCTGTAATAATTTTAAAATATTACTCTATAGAAAAATTATTTGGATTTCTTGGATTTATTTCATTTGTTGATTGAATTTATTGTAATTTTACTGATTCTAGTGTATTTGAAACTATTTTTAGTTTATTTGGATCATTTTTATTTTTCCTCATCTGAAATAATGAATGGGCTCCAACACAAGGAGCTGAGTATTGTACAAAGTTTGATAATTGTCAGAATGGCCTTTAATGAGATGTTATTAAAGCCTACACATACCCGTGCTTCCCCCAAAATAAGACCGGGTCTCATTTTCTTTTGACCCCTGAAAAAACGGTTAGGGCTTATTTTCGGGGAGGTGTTATTTTCCCCCCCATGTACCAGGAGCCACGAGCTATCCCTCATGGCTCCTTGCCTAATGGTCTTACCAGTAGTGTGGTCCGCGGAAGAGCTGATCAGCAGGTGATGTCCTGCCGCCACCTTGAAGAATCGCGGCTGCTTTTGCAGCCGATTGAGGCTGCAAAAGCAGCAGGAGGCCCCACATGCCTCACACCCCTTTCAAGAACAGTCTTACTTCAATCGGCTGCAATGGCCCAAGTTCTTGGTGCACCCTAGCCTCCACCTGCCCTTCTTGCTGGCTTTGCTGCTGCTGGGACACTTGGCCGCTAGCAGCCAAGCGGCTGCCTGTGCTGTTGTTGGGTGAGTAAGCCGAGAACTACATCCTCTGGAGCATCCATCGCTCCATTGAACTGCCAGGGGCCCTTCGTCAGTGGCCACCGGTAGAGCCATGCTGCCTCGCCTGCCACCACCTTTGGGCTACTGAGTACCTTCCTGCAGGTCTACTCGGTGCTGCAGGTGCTGGGCTATGAGCTAAGCCCGGTACTCCTTGGGCCCTGGCCCTGGTGGATGCTAGCTGTCATGATGGCTGTGCGCTCCAGGACGCTCCGGAGGACATAGATCTGGGACAACTCCCCTCACACCAGGCAGGAGCAGCCCAACAGGAAGGCCAAAAGCAGCGCTGCCAGGAGGGCAAAGAGCTCCTGTGAGGTCAGCAGCAGCACAGGCAGTTGCTCATGCCAGTTGCTGCAAGTGAGTGGTGAGAGCATCAAAACCAAAAAGCAGGACTTGGCTCTTTTCTGAAATGAGTTTGCAGCAGCTTCTGGACATGGAGTGAACAGCCCGTGCCTCTGCTTGCTGCCAGTGCCATCCTGGCATGTTTTGGAAGGGAGATAAAAATAAATCCTGCACTCTTTCGCTGCTGCTGTGCAAACCTCAACACAGACAACAACAGCTTTGCCTTCTCCCTTCCAAAATATGCTGGGACAGCACCGGCAGCAGGCAGAGGGCAATCCAATCAAACCTCTTTTTGGGTGATTGTATCCCAGGATTGCAACACTGAAGGTTCAGCAGGAAAATGCTGTTTAATGAAGACATACAGGCTCAACTCAGCAGAGCTGCTGCTCCTTTTGGACCCTGAATGGCTCCGCTAAACAAAATCAGCTGTTTAGTGAAGACATGCAGGCTCAGTTCAGCTGTTTGCAGAGGATGTTCAAGCTCTCAATGGGGTGGCAGCTCTACTGTTTAGAGAAGACATGCATGCTCAAATTTCGCTGCAGATTACCGAAATGGCTCCATTCTGAGACTTCAGTGTTGCAATCCTGGGACACCCCCAGCTTCCTGACGCTGCTCTGGGGCTTCCACAGTGCCAGGGGTGGGGAGGCCATCAGAGGAATTGCGTGTGGCCACCTGGTTCCTCTTCACCTTTGCTAGGGCAGTGGGCGCTAGTCCTTGGCCGGGCAGCCCCAAGTGTCATTCTGAAGCCTTCCTGCGACTTAGTTTGGGGTGGATGGTGGCACAGCTAACTCGAGTTGCAAACAACCTGGAGATTTGGTCAGCCTTTACTTGGCCAGTATGCCTGCAAGATTCCTGGTTTCCAAGGCTGGCATAGCTCAGCGTTTGGGCTCCAGCTTGCTCTTTTCCTCTCGGGTAGCAACTGCACATGTGTGGTGCCTACGGCTAAGTCTGGCCTGCTAATCTCAGACGGCAGCAGCTTTGACCCAATTCTGGCTGCCAACGTTGCAGGAAAAAACCAGCCATGCCAATCCTGCTTCATGGCCATGCACAGAGCCCACACTGGCTGCTGCTTCATGTGGGAAAGGAGGCGCTGCAAGGGAGCCCATTTGTAATGTTGGCTGAGTGGGGGTCACCCAGGCAGAGGCCGGGCCTTGGAGCAACACCCTGAGTGGATGCCGAGCTGGAGGCAGGGGAGGGTCATTCCCCTTACCCAATTGCCCTCCGCCATTTCTCATCAAATGTCCATTTATGTGTGTGAAAGAGAAAAACAGAGAAAGAGAAACAGCGGAGAGGGAACCCTTTCAAACAGCGTTACCTGCAATTCTTGTTACTCCTCTCTGTTTCTCTCTGTCTCAGCTGATTCAAGGGCCGCTGTTAAAGGGCCGAGGTGAAGGGCTGCCTCCTCAGCCACGCCCACCCACTTCACTAGGGCTTATTTTTGGGGTAGGACTTATATTAGGCCCACTCCCAAAAAATCAGGGGAGGGTACTTTCAAGGTAAGTTGTATTGTTGGGGAAACAGTAATATTTTATGAATTTATTTATATTTATTAGTTCTTTGAACAATTAAAATTTGTTATTTAAAAACTATTTTTAAACATAATCTTTACTTTTGAAAAATGAGAAACAGAGATAAAATAAAAAAGATTCAATAAGTCTGAAGGAAATTAGTGGGACAGTGGAGAAATTGGTGTTTATTTATCAGAAATCAAATGCCTATTCACGAATGAACAATTAATGTAAAAAAGTTGACTTGAAATAAGGTTTTGACTCATCTGTTTAATTAGGTTCTCTTTATTTAGTTTTAGGATTTGTGTGAAGAATAGATCACATTTTAGAGAATATTTATGCAGAAATATTGAAAATTCAAGGGGTTCACAAACCTTTATGAAACATTGTTCTTTGAGAGGCATGTATTAAAAAGATAGTGTTAATTTGCTAATGCAAGGATTCAGATAAAAATTGTGGTGGAAAAAATTGAATAGCTATGTATATTAGGAATATCATAGAACTTGAAAAAACAGGAGGAAGCAGGGAAATTTTTATTATTATGGTTTAAAATTGGACTATACAGCAAAGTATTATATTTAGATGAATTAAGTTCACCATAAGATTTTGAAACACAGCTAAAAAATAATTTTCATGGAATAATTTTATCAAAATAGTAGTTATTGATATGGCCTAAAAATATGTTTTACCTTTTGATCCCCCTGAGCAATTTGTATGGTCTGTAAAGCCTTTTCTAACTTTGACTTTTCATCCAGTGCATTTGTAGCCTGCAAAAGATTTGAAAATTCAAGTCAAATCTTATTTTAAAAAGATACATCCATCCACTCTAGAAATGGTTTACCATTTTCTTCTTTCTTTATCCACATAACCATCTACTGTAAAGCCTCAATCTAACAGATCATGTTGAATAAAGACAGTTAAGATGAACTTATGTCATTAAGAACGGCATCATTATGTTGTTTGCATATTTTAAAAATGGTGTCATTTTTATGGCAATCTGCATCCTTTGTGAAATGAAGTCATTATGTAAGTTAAAATTGATTCAAATTATATAATATCTAATTTAAGATTTTTCCATTATTTTGTGGAATATCTAGATGGAAATCTACATTGCAACTCAGATGCCCCAAATGAATGTCTGTTAAGTCAAAGTCATCCTTGATTTATCAAAGAATTTTACCTGCAGCTCTATTGTCTTTAATCTAGTCTTCAGTTTTTCATTTTCTTCATGAAGTCTTGCAATTTCCTGCGGGCAAAATATCAAACAAACTAGAAATATTTAGATGTTTTATAAAATCATTTATCACAATTTGAAAAAGGTAATGCTTATATATATTGCACCAGTACATAGAGATTGTCTGGATTTTCCCCCTGTGGATTTTGGATAGTGTGGATTTTCTCCCTGACATAGTAGGTTTTAATTACTATTTAAATTGATTTTTTTACCTTTGCACATTGCTCGAACTAGTGAATTGCTGTAGAAATAACTGAAGTTATAAATTAAATAAAATGCATTAAAATACATTTACTTTCATTCATAAAATACATAAACCCCCAAATGAGATTAATCTACAGAATATATATTTATATTTGGAAGGAAATTAAATATGGTGAAATACCTAAGAATACACAAAGATTGTGAATCAAATGAATCAACAAATCAACAGGGAAGCTAGCAGGGAAAGTTGTAAGCTGCTGACATTGTCAAGAAATCCCCTCTTGTCTCTAGGGGCTGATTGAAAGAACTGCTTCCCAAAGGAATCTAATCTGCTTTGGGAGGATGCAAAAACAGAAGAGTAATCCTGCAGATGATGCAGAGGGGAGCTAAATTCCTCTGCTGGGATGCAAAAATGGAGCCAAAAACAGTTCAGAGTTTTCCTTTTTATTAGTTTATAATATAAAATACAAAAGCAAATAATAGGAAAAATAGGGGAGGGAAAAGTATTAAAAAGGGGGGAGGAGGCATTGATTTCCGACTCCCTTTGCTACAGTAGAATAAGATAGTAACATCAAACCTCATTTTTTTACTTTTACTTAATAGTACAAACTAGCCATTTCTTCTATAACAACAAACCTATCTAATCAGTAAAATCCAAAATCAAAGTTTCATTGTTTTTCTTCTCAAGCACAAAGTCCAGAAGAAGTTTCCAAGTAGAAACAAAAATAATTGTTATTTCTTTTCTTTTATCAGAGCAGTCAATTTAGCCAACTCTGCTAACTCCATCAACTTTTGCAGCCATTTGTCCATTGTGAGGAAGCAATGAATCCAAAATCCTGAAGTTATCTCTGTTCCTGCACCCCAACAAGAGTTCCCTTCCGTGTATGGAGGGCTGCTGAACTCCCCTGAAAGGCAGTTTTCAGACTCCAGTTATAAGAGAAGTGAGATTCAAAAATTTCAGCAACTGATTTTCTGCCTGGTTGCTGGGTAGGCATGGCCATTTAGGGGTGGCCTAGTCAGCCTCCTGCACCATGGCAGGTGGGAACATTTCCAGCCTCCCCGGGCTCCAGAGGCTTTCCTCGAGCCTCCAAGAGGGAAAAACGGCCTCCCACGGGCTCTGGAGGCCCTTCAGAAGCCAGAAATTTTTGACTTTCTGAAACTTTCACGAGGCCTGTTTTTCACCCTCCCTGAGCCTCCGTGCAGGCCCTGCATTTACCGCACATCCAAAATGGGCTGCGTGGAGATTCTTGCAAGGAGCGGGGGGGGGGGGGGGGGGAGGGCACAGGCGGGGGGGGGGGTTGAGGATTCGCTGAACCAGCCATAACAATAGTCATAGACATAGAATAACAGATTTGGAAGGGACCTTAGAGGTCATCTAGTCCAATACCCTGCTCAAGCAGAAGAGTCTATTCCAAATATTAGCCTCTACCTAGGATCAAACTCACAGCCTCCTAATTGTGAGGCAAGAGCTCCACCTCTAGGCAGGGGCCGCCAACTTTGGGACCTCAGGGACCACCAAACTCATAATTTTAAATCCCGCAGACCAGAGACCATGAGAAAATCCCCCAAAAAGTTTGCAGGAAAATTCCCCACCCTGTTTTCCTACCGATCGATCGCTCTTTATTTGGGATTGCAGGATACTGTCTCCAGCTCCATTCTCAGGGGGAGGGAGGGACAGAGGGAGAGAGGGAGGGCAGGGGAGGGAGGGAGGGAGGGAGAGGGAGAGAGGGGGAGAGAAAGAGAGAAAGAGAGAGAGAGAGAGAGAGAGAGAGAGAGAGTTTTCTGGCGGAGTTTGCGGGAAAGAAAGACTTTTGCTGCTTTCCTTCCGTGCAGCCAAAAGCAGAAGAAAGAAATGGAAAGAAGCAGCCCGGTGGCCAGGCCAGGTGCATGGGCGAGTGGGGCAAGTTCCCCACTCCTCTATCTACCTCGTGCTGTTTGCAATGCAAGCGACACACAAGCCTTGTGTTCCCACGCAGCCTGGATTAATTGCTTTGGGGATGACGTTTCTTGTGGACCACTGGTTGGCAAACACTGCTCCAGGCCACCGTACTGGTTGTTGGCTTATGGGTTATTAGCTATGGGTTTGCCCAAACTTGGCAAACCCGTAGCAGCCCTAGAGTTGGTGCCTCAGGCAAGTAGGGGAAGCCCTGGGATGCAGCATGTTTTTTCATTCAGAAGCTAAAAAGCAGTGTGAGGTAATCACATGGGAGTTGTGCTTAACTTCAACTTTCCTCATTAAGTGAATTTTCTGCCCCAATTGTATTTTTTAACTACCTATGCATGTATATCAGAAAGGATGGGGCAGGCTACATATACTCTGGGTCACTGACCAGGAAGTAATAAATAATAAACAGTTAACATTTGGAGATGCTGCCAACTGCTTTTCCCAATCTGATGCTGTGGAAGAACTTTTAGGGAATGTTACTTTTTCTAAAAGTCCTTCCAATGCATCACATTGAGAGAAGCAGTTGGCAGCATCTCAGACACCAGCTTTATCAAGCTCACATTTTAAACTATAATATTTCTTTTGAAGCTTCTCCCTAGAACAATATTTGCTTCCATTTTACTCAAGCTCCAGAGCACTACTGTGCATTCACCAAAATTCTGGCCTCTTTTAAATATTTTTTAACATTTAATCTACTAGCAAATACAAAGTATACAATATTTCCAAATTATTTGTTATTTTTCTTTTTTCAACTATTTCCAAATTGTGGACTTTTCTTTTTCCAGATGTGTATGCTAAAATGCAAAGAATTTGTTTTTATAATTATTAAGTCATTAGCAATTTAAAGTTATTATAATTGGTTACTTAAACTTCTAAATATAGCTTGAATAATAAGGAATACAGTTAGTTTAATTCATAACTAGTTATACTGAGCAGAGTGAAGTGAAACAATGAATGGTCACCTTGTTTAGCAATTCTGATGCTCCCTCATGCAATGGAGTAAGTTTAGTTTTAGCCAACTCTGGATTCAGCTAAAAAGGAAAAAAAAATACAAATCAAGTATCTCTAACACAATATAAACTTATTCAGAAGTAGGATCTTCCAAATCAAACTAAAGTTAAGGTGTACTCTAAAATTTATATTTAGAAATTATTGTTCATCCTTCTCTTATTCTGATAGGAAAAATCCTTTCTAGTTACCATTTGCAATCTGACAAGATCTGATATATACATATCAGACAAAATAAGGTGTATTCTAAAAATCGTATTTAGAAATTATTGTTCATCCTTCTCTTATTCTTATCCTGGAGCACAGGGGAAGTACCAGATGTTTGGAAAAGAACAGATGTGGTTCCCATCTTCAAAAAGGGGGGGGGGGGGAAACAGACCTAGGAAACTATAGACCAATCAGCCTAACATCAATACCCAGGAAGATACTGGAAAAGATAATAAAAAACAGCTCTGCCAACATCTAGAAACAAATAAACTAATAACTAGCAGCCAGCATGGGTTTGTTAAAAACAGATTATGCCAAACCAATCTTATTTCATTCTTCAACATAGTGACTAAATTAGTAGACCAGCAAAATATTGTGGACATAATATATTTAGATTTCCGCAAGGCATTTGACAAAGTAGACCACAATCTATTTCTTGGTAAGCTAGAAAAAAGTGGAATAGATAGCACCACCACTAGATGGACTCGCAACTGGCTGACAAACCATACTCAACGAGTAATCCTTAATAAGTCTAAATCTACATGGAGGGAAGTAAGCAGTGGGGTGCCATAAGGTTCTGTCTTAGGTCTAGTAGTCTTCAATATCTTCATTAATGGCTTAGATGAGGGAATAGAAGAATTTACCAATTTGCAGATGATACTAAGCTGGCAAGAATAGCTAACACCCAAGAAGATAGGCTCAAGATCCAGATGGATCTTGACAGACTAGAACCTGGGCTGTATCTAACAAAATGAAATTCAATGTAGAGAAAAGTAAAGTCCTACACTTAGGCAAGAAAAATCAAAAGTACACATACAGACTGGGTGAAACCAGGCTCAATAGCAGTAACTGTGAGTGGGATCTTGGAGTCTTAGTGGACAACCAGCTAAATATGAGCCAGCAGTGTGCAGCAGCAGCCAAAAAAGCTAATGCAATCCTAAGTTCATTAAGAGAGGGATACAATTGAGATCAAGTGAGGTACTAATACCACTCTATAAAGCCTCAGTAAGACCACACCTAGAGAACTGCATCCAGTTTTGGTTACCACATTATAAAAAAGATGTTGAGACTCTAGAAAAAGTACAGAAAAGAGCAACCAGTGTGATTAGGGGACTAGAGACTAAAACATATGAAAAACGGTTACAGGAACTGGGCATGGCTAGTCTAGTGAAAAGAAGACCAGGGGAGACATGATAGCAGTCTTCCAATTTTTGAGGGGCTGCCACAGAGAGGAGGGGGTATTTTCTAAAGCACCTGAAGGCCAGACAAGGAATAATGTATGGAAACTGTACAAGGAGAGATTTAACATGGAAATAAGGAGAAACTTTCTGATAATGAGAACAATCAACCAACAGAACAGCTTGGCCTCAGAAATTGTGGGAGCGTCATCACTTGAGACTTTCAAGAAGAGATATTTTTAATTTATTTTTATTTTATTTAGTTTGTCAATTGCTTACAAGATAATAGGTATAAGTAAAAACATAGTTATGAATACATGGAGACATATAAGAAAAATAAAAGAAACAATAGGACAGGGATGGTAGGCACATTGGTGCGATTATGCATGCCCCCTACAGACCTCTTAGGAAAGGGGTGAGGTCAATAGTGGACAGTCTAAGGTTAAAGTTTTTGGGGTTTGGGGAACAAACCACAGAGTCAGGTAGAGTATTCCAGACATTGACCACTCTGTTGCTGAAGTCATATTTCCTGCAAACAAGTTTGGTGCGATTAACCTTGAGTTTGTATCTATTGTTTGCTCTTGCATTGTAATGGTTGAAGCTGAAGTATTCATTGACAGGTAGGACATTGCAATGTATGATTTTACATACTATACTTAGATTGGACCGAAGGCGGCGTAGTTCTAGTTTTCTAGGGGTAGAATTTCAAGTCTGATGGCATAAGGTATTCTGCAACGAGTAGAGGAGTGGAGAACTCTTCTTGTGAAATACTTCTGGACTTTCTCAACTGTGTTAATATCAGATATGTAATGTGGGTTCCAGACTGATGAACTGTATTCAAGTATTGGTCTAGCAAATATTTTGTATGCTCTAGTTAGTAATGTAATATTACCAGAGAAAAAGCTACGTTAAAACTAGGTTAATAACTCTTAATGCCTTTTTGGCAATGTAGTTACAGTGGGCTCTAGCACTTATGAGCATTAGAGATGAGTACTCCAAGATCCTTGACAGAGTTTAGATCATCAACAAGGTCTTGACTATTCAGCCTGTATTTTATTTTCTGATTTTTTTTTGCCAATATGTAAGACAGAGCATTTATTTGTTGAGATTTGAAATTACCATTTGTTTCACCATTCTAATATAGTCAAGGTCTTTTTGAAGGTAGCAGAATTGTCTGTGGGGTTGAATAGCTCTACATTGTCAGCGAAGAGAACGCAGTTGCTCTTAATATGATCACAGAGGTCATTTATGTAGAGTATGAAGAGGGTTGGTCCTAGAACACCGCCTTGGGAGACACCACTGTTGACAGGTACAGAATTTGATAGGACGCTCCCAATTTTGACCATTTGTTGTCTGTTGACAGGAATGCTTCTATCCAGTTATGCAGTTGTCCAGAGATACCATAGAATTTTATTTTTAGGAGTAGTTTGTCGTGTACCACTGAATCAAAGGCTTTACAGAAGTCTATGTAGATTGCATCTATTGTTTTGCCCTGATCAAGTTGTGTAGTCCATATGTTTTTGCAGTGTAAGAGTTGCAGATTACAGGATAGTTTTTTTCTGAAACCAAATTATTTAATGGAGAGTAGGTTGTTTGTCTCTAAGTGGAGGATGATGGATTAGTTAATAATTGATTCCATGACTTTACAGGTGACGCAGCATAAAGAGATTGGTCTGTAATTTTCAACTAGGCTGGGGTCTCCCTTTTTGAAGATGGGGATGACCGTGGCTTGTGACCATAGGTTAGGCAAGGAACTGGTCCTGAAAGATTTTTCAAAGATTATGCTTAGAGGTTTGGCTAAAGCAGTGGGTAGCTTTTTTAAGAAGTAGGCACATATTCCATCCGGTCCAATAGATAGAGATGGTTTCAGATTGCGTAGTGCTTTTTCAACACTGTCTTCTGTAAAATCGATATGTATTAGATCATTGTAGTTATCTGTGGTTCGACTAGGAAATACTGGGCATGATCCATTGCTGTTTACAAATACTGAGCCAAAGAATGTATTAAAGAGGTTGGCTTTAATAGTGTCGTCATTGCAGTCTTTACCATTAGGTCCTTTCAGGGGTGGGATGGATCTTGAGTTTTTTAGTTTGTTGTTTACAAAATTGTAGAAAGCATGGGTGGAATTGGTGCATAGGTTTTCCTCTTGTTTAATGTGATAATTGGTACATTCAGTCTTTATCTGGTGGCATAAATCAGCTTTTGAAGTTGGCAACGTGACCAGATTTGTTTTTCCGCCAAAGTGATCTCTTTTTGGATTGAAGCTTCCTTATTGTTATGGGTAATGTTTTTTCTGGTTTTTGGAGTTGTTATTGGTACATATAGTTTGATGACTCTTTTGACTTCAAGTAAAAATATGTTGTAATGGTCTTCAACAATATTGCATCCAGTGAATAGAAATTGCCAATCAAGGGATGAGAGATCATTGTCTATAAGATCATAGTTGCCTTTTTTTGTGCTGTGGTCACTGTTAGAAAAGGGTTCTTTAATTTATATTCCGTAAATTGAATTCAAACGATTGCAGAAGATGAGATCAAGGCAGTTGTTAAGTCTAGTATTGTTGGTTACTAGTTGTTCCAGTCCCAGGTTTGTTACAGCATTGTAGAAGGTTGCATGTATGGGTTCAATTTTACATTCGTTTAGGGTCCAGTTAATGTGAGGTAGATTGAAGTCACCAAGAAAGATAAAAGTGTGTGGGCAGGATGTTGCCCATGTTAGTAGTGAATTTAGCTTGTTTACATGTTCAATGTCATAATCAGGGGCTCTGTAACATAATAAGAATCGAAATGTGATATTTAAGGACAGTTCACAGACGATGGTCTCAGGAAGAGCAAGCTCTTGGGTAACTTGGATGTTTTTTAGATGTAAGGACTTTTTATAGAAGATAGCAACACCACCTCCTCCATGGATTTCACAATCAGATCGGTAAACATGATAGTCTCTTACTGTGGTAATGGAGTCAGGGAGAGATGCACAGGGAGAGATGTCTGTTTCACAGACAAATATGATGTCAAATTTAGCCATATTTAGTAAGAGGAGAAATTCAGGTATTTTATTCACAAGGCTTCTTGCATTGAGTAGCTTGCATTTAAGGCCAGATGTAATTGGAATTGAGGTAGTTAGGGGCATGCGTGCCTAGTTTTGATTGATGGTGGGTTGGATGAGGTAGGGTTGGATGTGGAGTTGTGGGTTGTGTGACTTACTTTTGATACAATCAGCTCTGTAGTCAATGTAGAGATCCTTCTCGCCATTGTCTAGACGTCTTTTGAGTTCCTTGCGGAGTTCACGGGAGCGGATTCTTTGCAGTTTGGATAAGTCTGTTCTTGAGCCAAGTTTTTTGAGGTTGGGATTGGTTTTTGCAATGGCATTCATTGTATGAATGAATATGCATTTGCTGGACTCATTTTTGCAAACAACTCTACAAAATTTTGGGGCCACCGAGCCATCATTTTATTTGGACTCAGGGCCATCTCTGGTTATTTCAATGATATCTTCAGGAGAGAAGTTTGTTGTATTTGAGTTGCTTATGATATTACAAACTTTGGTGATGTCATCTGATTCGTTGGTGTCTTCAAGACCAAATAAGATGGCATTTGGATGTTTCTGATCACGTTCAGTTGTGTCTCTGATGAGTAAGGAGATATCATTTGTGGAATTATTTGATGGGATAGTGACTATTTGTTGTTGTGATTTGGTGGTTATTTTTAGTTGTAGTTGTGATTGTAGTTGAGGTAGTAGTTATGGTAGTGGTTGTTGGATTGGGATTTGATTTTGAGCTGATAGGTAGTCGCTTATCAGTGCTGTATTTTTTTTTCAAGAGAAATTAGGCTTTCTTGTATAATTGTTTCAAAACGTGTTGCTAAGCGTTTTTCTATTGAATGCATGAGTGATTCTATGCTATCAACTCTGTCTTGGTTTGTTTAGCTTAGGAAAACACGATGGACATAGACAAGGGAAAGTATCTGATGCTTTTAGGAGATCAGCCCGGTCTTTGTTTAAGTAGACGAGGTGGGCTTGATTGTCACATAGGTAACATTTGATGTTATTTTCGCTTTTGTTGATGGTTTTAAGATATCTGAAGCGTGTACAGGAGTCTGGGAGGTCATTGGTAGAGATATTATTTTTTGTTGTTGTTTGGTAGTGGAGGATTTGGAGTTTCTTGCTGGCATGGTCAATGACAATAGTACACTAAACAATTACAATAGCTAATTAATGTGATAGGTAGACAGTTACTTAATGAATGTTGGTAATTAATAAATGTTAATTGATTAGAGAACAATTCAAAAGGTTACTTATTACTAAAAATCAATCAATCAATCGACTAGATAATGATACAGTATTAAATCTATCAGTTCAATGAATCAGTAAATTAGTGGTCATTTAACAATTAATCATTATACTATTATATGTTAAATCAATGATTATAGACAAAGCATTATCTATAAATATTTGGTCTTGAGGTACTGAAATAGTGGAGGTAGTATAGTATCGGAGGTTTGTGGTGTAAAGTTCCTTTGTTTTTCATTAAAGCCACGTTTTTGGTTTTTGTTTTGTTTTTGTTTTAAGGAGGAAGTATTGTTGTTTGATAGATTTGAATGGAGAAGATTTGAATGAGCTCACCAATCATCTACTTTGGAGTTTGGAAAGGATGAGATTTGGGTGAGGGTTTAGTGGAGCTTATCCAATCAGATGAGTGGGAATTTAAATTCAGGCTGACTAATCATCTGGGTTGTTTAAATGGAGCTAGGTGATTTATATGGAGACTATCAATTCTCTGTGAGTTTCCTCTGTTCTCCCCAGCTGGTGGCCATTTAGAATTATTTTTGGTGATTTGATTTAAATGGAGACTGTAGACATCATTCCAGTTCTTCCATCATCGGAATTCACAATCAATCTGTTTCAAAAGGCAATTTTCCTGAATAAAAACCTTCTTCACACCTCTTCTTGTCTAGTCCCCCTTTTTTCTCTTTTTCTCTCTCCTTTAATCACTCTTTTCTCAAGCTGCCATTTAACTTCCAGAGTTAGAGGGTAAAAACATAAATTAAGCCGCTGCCGCTTAATCTCCACACTTACCCCTTCCGCTTTGGAGTCTTCGCTTTTTAAATTGTTTCTGACTTGGGTCCACAGTAAATCTTCGAGCCATTTACCTGCTCCTTCCTGCCACTGAAAGATGCACCACCAATCTATAAGGAGCCGGGGGAGACACCCACAGTTGGGTAGCTTCTAAGCTTGCAGTTGGCAGTTGCCGCAAATGCACAGCTCGTTCGTTCTCCGCGTTGGCTTCCCTCTCCCGAGATCAGGCAAATTCTTTGACCAGGTAGCTTCTTTTCACTAGGCAGCTTTTTCCTCTCCAGGCAGCTGAAAGGGAAGCTGCTCAAGACGGGATTCCTGGACCCCAAAATGCTGGTCCATGTTACACAATGCTGGATGAATGATGTTCATCCCAATGGTTAATGGTGGCCATGAGGCAATCACCTGCATCTGCCTGCCATTTGTCAGAAATGTTGTAGGGTCTCCCACTTGGGCTGGGGTTGGACTAGATGACCTACAAGGTGTCCTTCCAACTCTGATTATCTGTTATTCTGATAGGAAAAATCCTTTCTAATTACCATTTGTAATCAGACAAGATTTGATATATACATATACTGTATATATCAAAAAGAGATATACCGTATATACTCGAGCATAAGTCGACCCGAATATAAGCCGAGGCACCTAATTTTACCACAAAAAACTGGGAAAACTTATTGACTCGAGTATAAGCCTAGGGTGGGAAATGCAGCAGCTATTGGTAAATTTCAAAAATAAAAATAGATACAAATAAAAACTTTCACTAGGACAGTTGAGAATAAGTTTGATGTTCACAAGTTCCTCTTTGAAAGAGACCAGTAAATAGGGTACAAGAAGATGAAGAAAAAGAAGTGTGTTTTTTCACGCTTTTCACACTGCAGTGAACAAAAATGGCATCATAGGAACAGGCTTATTCTCAGTCCAAAGGTTTGTTTCTGATTTCTTCCCTGATTTAAGGGAAATTTGGGAAACGATCTCACTATCATGAAAGGTTTAATTGATTCACTAACCCAAAAGAAGAAGATGATGATGACAGTGGGAGGCAGGAGTCACTTTCCCCCCTTGCAAGAAAAAAGCAAGAGCCATTCTTATGCTCTCTCTCTCTCTCTCTCTCTCTCTCTCCGTAATACAGTCAAGCCCTTTCCAGCACGCGCGATCCGCCGCCGCTTTGCACCTTGCAAAGCGGCGGCGGCGGATCGCGCGTGCTGGAAAGGGC